CGTGCCTGAATATAAACGAACAGTCGAGTTGTAACAGTATTATAGGTGATTTAACTTTTTTCCCATCTGGATAATTACATGATGGAAAGGAAGACCTCCTGATTTTAGACTGACAAAAACGATTAACTATGCAACAGTTAAGAGGTTCGGTTCCCGGACGATATAGCAACGCTGGTTACCTGCTTTAATTTTTTATCTACGTCAAAATCCAGGACTAATTATGAACTAGTGGCTACGAAACAGAAACAAGGTAAAGTAGATTTTACCCAGTCGAAGCCATATTTTGTAATTATTTTAAGCAAAAACGATTATTTTCCTTCGAATTTCTGCAGCTTAATTAAATCTGATCATCCCTTTTCATTTAAACGCAAGTTCCTAGTTTTTTTATTGCATATTGTGTCTTCAAGGCAGTCGCCCCACCATCCACCCCACCGTGACTATTTGCATCCTGAAAATTTTCCACCAGTATCACCCTCCACGGGGAGGATTTGTCTTTCCGGCAGTTTTGCCAATAGTTTGAATTTGCGAATCGTATGATAAACGGAAATTTTGAAAAATCCCGCGTGTATTTTAAAACTGTTTCTGTCATTGTTCCAAAGTGGACATATACGGTCATTTTTAATAATTTAACAAAGCCTATTGTTATATACCTAGACTTTCAGTCAAGAAAATGAGCATTGTGATTGATTGATTCTTAGTCACATGCCCCTAATCAAATTCAAACGTATCCCGACCGGAATACAATTGCGCAGTTGTTGCTCGCGCTGAATGCAACAACATGTTTTTGACATATGATTGTTTAAGACGAAGCACTTAATGTATGGTCCCTTGGAGACTAGTTAGTTTCCTTTTCCCTTGAGACCCTCGACTTCGTCTTGGGAAACGTCAGGAAAACAAAACTAACCGTTTCCTTCGAGATTATACATTAAGTATAGAATACTCTCTTGCTCTTACTTGCACATTTGCCCGCTGACTAGATTATCAGACTGGAGATCATGTTCATGTTTGGGAGAATACAAATTTCAAAAGTCTCACGAGGGTTCCCTTGACTCTACCCATGAATTGATTTTCATGTGTCTTCCCTTTATCTTTCGCCTTCTGGTCGGCTGTGCCCTTTGGTTTCCACATTGAGTGGTATTCTTCTCGATTTGAAAACGCCTAGCCCTATTTACCTCTTAACTCCACTTCCCTCTGGCTCACTATCTATTTTTTACTCACAAGAAAGAGTCAAAGAACACTTCGGCTAAATTTCTTCAGTTTAAATATTTATGTGCAGTGATTGATATGTTGGTGAAATGATGTTCATTAGAACATCAAGACAAATAAAAACGACTAAAAACTACTAAGGTACTGTAATAAGTGTGGTTCATGATCATACACTTGACCTCACAAAGAGAAGCACATTATTTTCGCGGGACTAAGTATTTTAACAGATATGTAAGAATTTTAAGGGATTGGTACAACTTGTGTATCTCTCGACTCTTGTGGTTTTTGTTCTTTGTCGTTTTTGTTTGTTTTTTTTTCTGTTTTGTTTTTTACAATTTAAAGGGAAAAAAAATTGTGCGCGACACACCACGGAATCCAAAGTTGCTTGAATCATAATATGCCCCTTTGTTGAGAAAAGTTTCAGATGGATTTGAATTCTGTGTGCAAAACTGGCAATTTGTTATTTTTTTCAGTTAGTTGTACATGTATGCCCCGCACTCATTACAGCTTGGGAATACGAAACATACTTAGCAAATTCATAGTGTGGACATGTCACACAACACGTTCCCTTGGAACCCTCTACTAATGAGTATTGCGTGACGAGCCTAAATCGACATCCGCTGGACGGTGATCTAAATACGGGACTCCGACGTAAAGAATATGGCTGAAGAAACTTTCACAGAAGAGAAACTTATTTAATCCATGTTCTCAGGAATATGGAAGAGCCGCTGCTTAAATAAGTGTTCTGGTGTTATTAGGTGTCCCAGAATTGCTGTGTAACTCGGTCACTCCGGTCAGTATTCAAAGATCGCTCAGCGAACCGCTTGCCACACAGACGAAAAGATCTACAAGGTTTTGAGAACCATGGCTCAGTGGGGAATTGGGATGAAATTAAGCGAGAAACGCTTTAAAGCCAATCGAGCCATGGAGTTGCTGAGAAGAGACAACGGACCGAGTCTTGGCCATAAAGTTGGATACTACAGAAGCGTTGAAGTTTGGGCTGCCATGTTGGCTTTTCCAGAGGCAGTCAAGGATGGCGGCGATACAGCGTTTGAACTTGCGCATGGAATGAATCTGTATGACTACATGTACAGAGCTGAGGAACTGGAGTATTCTGCCTCCACGAAGTCAGAAGATATGGCCTCTGACATGGGTACGAAACAGAGGAGATCAGAATTCGCACACAGTTACGATCGTGCAATGAGTATGTTGTCCCAGATGGAGTTGGACAGCGCGCAGCCAACTTTGTTTACAATGTACCCCTGGGTAAAGTGATTGAATCATGGACATTGGGGGAGGGGAGGGTCACTTTTTATCTCAAATTCTTAAACTACTAGGCTGTGAACACATTAAAGGAGTATTACTTTATTTTCCCGATGTAGTCGAGCGTGCCAAATTGTTCCTAGCCAAAGAAAATGTATCAGATCAGAGTGACATTGCTGAAAGGAGACATCCTGGATGGAATTTCGAAGAGCAAAGAGGTAGATACAATCATTGTGAAAAATTTATCTGCAATTTTTACAGAAGATGGGATAGTAAAAGTTGTGGAAAACTGTCTTCAAGTTCTTGCTACACATGGCAAATTTATTATTGTTAACAGTTGCGACCCTGAAGCAAGAGATACGGAGCATAATGTTAACAAAACTGGTTTACATCTGGATTTTCGTGGCATTCATATCATGGCGATGAGTATGATGGGATATTTCATTACAAATAGTGAGTGACTGAACTTGATTGACAGGTTATGCAAGAAAGTGGCTTTTTCGACCAAACGCAGTCCATCAGACTAGTGATAGTCCTACATTGTTTGAGCTGATAAATTGCGAATACATGATTTTGTTTCTTTGTTATGTGTTCAAAGTGGGCCTTTTCAAGTCGAGGCGATGGATTTAAAAAATTGAATGAACTTTTGACTTCTGTTTGTTGTCCTCTAAAACAAACTGGGAAATATGAGCACGATTTAGAAGCAAAATTAATTATTCCAGCTCAAAGAAAGCACTCACTAGAAGGAAATCATAATAGGGATTTAGGTTATGTCAATCAGTTTAAAAAACACAGACTAGACCCGAAATTCTGAAGGTGACAGAATTCAATGAGGTGAAGCAGTACAGTTTTGGATGATATTGGTCTGAGCTCCTTTACGATTTGATATTATTTCCCTACACCTATGGTAGAATAAAACAATCGTACACACATTACTGTTACTTTATATGTGGAAAGTGAGAAAGCGGAACATGAAGTTGAATGTAAGATGATCATCACCTCGAGTCCTTGCTAAATGCTGGCAAAAATCCACCATAGAAAATTCCTAATCAGGCCAAACACGTGCGATGCGTCATCTGCTGACTTGGAAATTTTTTCGGATAACCTTCAAGGTTCTACCAAGGCTTTCATAAGGTTAATCCTCTTGGAAGATATACTGATACTTCATTATTCTCAGAAATTAAACACGCCACTTTCTCTACCTTTGCTGATCAAAACAAAGACTCTCAGGTGAAGCACAAAAATTCAAAGTGTGCTGATCCTCTTTTTTCCTTACTTATTCCTTCGATTAAAAATTATTCTCTCCCAAACTTTTACGCGGAAAGAAGTATGGAGAAATTGTTACCACGACAGATGGTAGAATGAATATAAAGTTAATGTGAAATATTTGTTAGAAGCACAAAGGGTTCGTGAAGTGCACGAGCTTAAACGCTGCTCCTTTCATGGTCTGTTGTTTATCCGCAAAATGAGGGTGTTTCCAGGAACTCACTTATTGGCGGTGCTTTTGGTTGTATGCAAAATTACCTTAATGGTTGAAGGTAAGAGGAACTGCTTTTAAAGTTATTAGATTCTGCAATTATTTTCTAGCGAGATAAGCGATCGACGGATCGGATCGAAAGTGAAGATTGGCATGCAAGCGCTGAGAATTAGATGAGATGCCTTTGCATTTGCGAAGAGATTCCCGCTATTCACCAAATTCACTTTAAATTCCATTGTTTCATTTATTATTTAGGACAAACTCTGGTCCAAGACGGAAAGATCAACTTCACTGCGTCATATCCTGACTTGCTTTACTGCACGAACGTGCAGTTCCCTCGTGCATTCTCTAGCTCGAGAAATGTAAGGGTGATAGCGTCCATCGGGTATGAGTCCAATACTCGCAGCGTACACGACTCGGCTGTTGTGTGGACGTCAGACGTAACACAGAGTAGTTTTCGCGTATGTGCGCTGGAGTCGGGACTTGGCACAAATGGATCCGCCGTCGTGAACTGGATTGCATTTCGAAGTGCCCCCTCTGGAATGTTGGATGGCACCGCCTCCTTTAGTGCATTTACCAGTGGAACAAAATGTGAGAGAGTTACCTTTGTTCAGGTACGCGCGTGACCTATTTAGCTTTTATGATATAAACAAAAACTGGATCGCAATTTTCCCTTTAGTCTTCTTCGCAACAACAAAAACAAGAGCAGAACCACCAAAACTACAAATATTTGTTCGTGTAACGTGTAGTCAACTGCTTCATGAATTGTACCTCGTTTTTAATCAATTATACTATTGTCACGGTTCAAATATTTCAAAAGAGAATTTCCTAGAAAAGAGTATTATTACTTGAAACAAAGAGAAGATTTGCGGAAAATGAGCGGAACATAGACGTATTAAACTGATATGAAACTGAAGAGAGGGGCGTAACCTGGTTTTAAAAGTAAGTGGTCTGGTATCTGTTACTGTCTTCATTATACTCGCGGAACTTTAATGTAAATCCGTGTCATTTAATTTCATAAGTTTGTCTTTTAGCACTCAAAGGTTTGCAACAAGTTGAGAGTGCTTAACTTAATTGATTTCTGACAGCTCGTAAGGTCAAATCTAAACGTGATTTGTATCATGCAAGTCCGAGTTCAAGACAACTTTTTCTCCTCTATCCTCTTTGCAGCGATTTGCATCTATCCCAAAAGTGCTGGCTACAGTACGTCATTCTGTTAGCAACAAGTCACAGGACGCTATGAATGTCTGGGTTGAAGAACTCAAGGCGGATTATTTCAGAGTGTGCCTTAGGGAAGTGAAAACTTTCGATGGAAAGCATCAGAATTTAAAAGTGGCAAGTTTGACTAGAATAGTTCTAGTTCATAGAAACATATGTTGAAATACTTTGGTTTTGTTAATTGCATGGTTTTCCCTCGACAAATTCTGAAGTAGAAGGATTCAGGAAGTTTTAGCCGGATTATGAGATAAGTGTGTCAGGGTCTTCAAACTTTTTTTACTCTGAATAAGAGCACTTTTCACTTTTGACCGGTTGTTTTCAGCCGAATTGTATAAAAAAAATGCTATTCAATTTTTAGGATTGGCTGGCATTTACACAAAGAGGTGTTCAACTTACATTTGAAGGAAAATTGTTGCTTGAAAATGGCGGAGCTCCTCGGGAACAAGACAATTTCGCCTTTTGTAAGGTAAGTCGAAGGCTCGATTTCCTCTAGAGTAACACAAGAACACCTTTTAAGTGACCCGGAGAAAACATTTTAAACTAGGTAACATCAGTTTTTGATATTCGCTCTGTTCTGTAATACTCAATTCTATTGATGTCAACTTTTAACTTTACAGGTACACAACTTTACCGAAGAATTCTATGCACCCCCTGTAGTCATAGTAACAGTAAATCATCTCTACGATAGCAAGAATGTATATTCCATCAAGCCAGAGAACAATGTTCTCAATACTTGGATTGAGGTAAATTAAGTGTTATAACCTATGCCTCTATGAATGGAACTTCTTTTTGGATCATTAAGACCTCTTTTCACTGCAGAAATCTTTGACACTCAAAATTTGAACCTCGGACCTTACCTGAGATACACACCTGAAACGGTCCACTATTTAAATGCTAAAAAATCACAATATATCAAGTGCTTATCATTGGCACCTCGTTTAACAAAGAACCTAATATTTTCTATTGACTCAACCAAACCTTGTTTACTTCAATTTCTTATGTCTTCCACTGTCACAATTTAATTAATCTGATTGCTGTTTCTTTACAACAGGAAATAACGATCTCATCGTTCCGTGTGTGTGTAAAAGACTTGGCAGGAATGGAAAGTCAACACGACCCCGTTACTGTTGATTACGCCGTTATTGGAGGTAAAGATAAGTCATTCAGGCAATATTAAGGTGTTACCAACAGCATTGACATTTATTTTACTTTAATAACTTGTGCGTAGGTAGGAGAGAAAAGCCGATAAATATTTCGACAAAGCAGTTTCTTTTTTTAATGTTTTAAGAGGAACTATAACTGCCTATTTTTAATTTAACACAATGAATAGTCATAACACTTAACGTAGGGTACTTACAATACAGCTTGTTCTCCGCTTACCAGACTTTGCTACTTGCGAAATTCCATTTCAACCCCGTGCGGTTCTTTTAGTTATGGTACAATGCTTAACACGACTAACAGAACAGTGCTTAGTCAAATAAAGGAAGTAACAACTGAACGAACTCAGTTTTCTCTACTTTTACAAAATCGGTAGTTCTTTACGTCGTCTTAGGTGAGCATTGATGTCAGTTCTTGCAGGTAATTTTCAAAATGTACACCAACGAAAAGAAAAGGCCTGCATTATGTCAAGTGTTTGCAAGAACAACACAGCTGTGGGATCCGCTTACCTGGGGCCTCTAGTACTCATAAAGTTCAAATCTTGTTGATGTTTGTGTTTTGTAGATTTTGATCCTTGCATCAATGTTTCCTGTAATTATTTTGCTGTCTGCAAGGCATTTGGACCCAAAGACGCCAGGTGCATATGCGTGGATAATTGTCCATCGTACGACGAACCTGTGTGTTCATCCAACGGAACCACCTACGACAACGAGTGTATGTTTCAAAGAGAAATGTGCCACTTGAAGGCTAATTTTACCCTTTATCACCCGGGTGATTGTACAGGTAATTCGGGTTGAAGCGAAGACAAAGTGTCCATTTGAAAGCAGATTTTAAAGACACAAAACTGAGAGAAACATCAGAGCGCATACTAATAGCAAAAGTAAAAAAATTGACAGTAGTAATAAAACTGAAGGTTTCAAAACAGTTAACAAATATTTTGGTAGTCAAATATAGTAGGCAAAAACGTTCTAAAGATTCTATCCTCAAGCTAACCAACTTTTTATTCTCTTGGCCCGTTTTTTATGTCCTTGAATACGGCAAGATGTTGAACATTATCGTAATTTCTTTCCCGGCCACAGGATTCCCTTCACAGAAAGGTCGTCATCGTCTTCATCACCACCCAAACTGGGCTGAGGCAGTTTGTGAACAGGTTCCACTGGTTCCTTATGTCTTCTATCCTGACTAACCTGTTCACGTACAAGTATCTGTTAATCACGTCAACTTCTCGGATCCCTCCTATGTCCACGAGGCTGCTGTGGCCTGGGTCGAGGATTTAAGGGAAAACAATTTTACAATTTGTGTCACTCAAGCTGGGAGGAATGAGAAGAAAAATGGAAAAACATTCGCTATGGTTGATTGGTTAGCATATCAGGGGGCCCCTGACGGGGGAGTGTCAGGTGAAATGGACATGCCGACATGGTGGACTGGAACGAGCTGTCGCACAGTTTCGTTGCCTCCGGTTCGTTGGCTACTTCTTACAATAATGTGTTTTCTCTCAACTGTCTATTGTCGCCTTTTCCTTGACCGTTCAGAATCGCATTGTTAACAACGATCTAGTTGTAGAATCTGAGACTGTATCCAAAAAAAATATTAACTGGCCTACATTCTGTCAAATTTGAAACTAACTTCTGAATTAAATGCTCTATCCGTTTCGCTAGAGGAACCCGTGGTGATGTGCGCTGATAAAATACGAAAGAAAAACAAACAATCAGACAAATTTGTGTTGTGAAGATATCACATAAAAAAGCAGTCTGTCAGTTACTACGACTAAATGAGCATATGTGTGAGCGTCTGCCCTGTAGAATTGAATGTCGATCAAATATGATGCACAAATAGCAAGACATTGCCTTAAAACATAAAGTTTTAGTTGGTAAAATTTATAATCACCGCGAGACAACTAAAAGAGCCAAAGAAATTCTTAGCCTTAGGGCCGTTGGTTCCTTTGTATGTACCTTTATACGTGTTAATCCTGAGTCAATGTTTCTGCAGAAAAAGTTTCAGTCAGTTCCCACCGTATTTGTGTCGGCTCAGCATGAAAGGCGGGGAGTGAAGCATGATGCGTCTTCTGTTTGGGTGGAAGATTTGACGACAACTTCCTTTAAGATCTGTGTCAGGGAGTTACAGAACTTTGATGGAGCTCACCAAAGCATCCATGTAGTAAGCAGTTTTACGCTTTTCACAAAGTTGCATAATCTTTCATAATTTTAAGAAAGCCTTTCTTTCAGCTATTTTCCTCTTTGAAGTTTGTTGAAAATTTCTTTAACCACGATGGCGAGCTCATTTTCTGCTTTTTTTTCTCTTCATTGTATTTATTCCTAAATCAAAGATGAATTTGTTCATTTTTCATCCTGTCTTGCCTTTGTTTTTGTAAAAGGACTGGATGGCGTTTGAAGAGCTTCATCAGCCCTTGTTTATGGAGCATGGCTCCTTATACTTTGCAAACGGGAAAAAACCATCCAAAGAATTTAACTATGCTTTTTGTGAGGTATGTTTGGTTCATATGACGTGTATTGACACTTTTTCAATTGTACTCTCTCAACAGTATAACGCACTCACACACGATGTACACATCCACCTACACAATTGTGAACTCACCTAGCTAGCTGAATCATTCACTCGATCACCCAATCACTCGCGCGTTCACTTGAACTCAGTCACTCAGTCACTCAGTCACTCAGTCACTCAGTCACTCAGTCACTCAG